GCACAATGTTTTGGATTAAAAAAAAAAAAAAAAACCAGACATTTTTGTGGGTCAATTGACCCCACATGACCCCATATGGGTCGATCCATGAACGTGCGCCCAAAGTAGCACATATTTCGAAGAATACATTATTTTAAATTAGTGTTTATCATTGAAGAAAAATGCGTAACTTATGTCATGTTGATATTGACTATTCATGTTTAATGATATTTTTCGAAAATAATTGTTTTTTCTTTTACTTTATTGTATAATCAATCAAATGGCAAGCATCACATAATTTGAGTTTACTGCACTTGACATATCTAGCAAAAACTATTTGTTATAGGTACTCGATACTGATATCCATCTTATCTCAAAACGTTTGTGAGAGACAATAAAAGAATGAAACAAAGAATCCCTACATGATCATACAAAAACACTCATTTTCCTTCGTCATCATCTTCACAATGGATTGAAAATTGAATATGCCACTGAGAAAGATCCAAAAGTTCTTTGAAAAAAAATTAACTTAAGGATTATATCATCGGATGACTATAGTCCTCCTAAAGTCCGCAATGAGTGGATGCACTTTCGTTTGTAAGATTTCAAAACTATCAGTGAGTACAATTTTGAACTATTCATCAAGATTTCAAAACTGTTAGTGTGTACAATTCTGAACTATTCAGAATATGTTCAATATTGACATTGTGTGGAGAAAAAATCACTGATGAAAATACATTGGATAAAACTTTTTCCACCTTTCAAGCTTCGAATGTGCTTTCGCAGCAATAATATCGTGAGTGTGGTTTCAAAAAGTACTCAAAACTCATATCTTGTCTGCCTGTGGCTAAACAAAATAATGAACTATTGATGAAAAATCTTGGGTCACATCCAACGGGTTATGTATCATTACCTGAAGTAAAGGTATTGTATTGCTTGAAGAAAATACAATATCAAGATAAGGACATGGACGTAGATGTATAAGTAGACATGGACGTAGACATGAATTTGGACGTGAACACAGACGTGTACGTGGAATAAATCATGAACGAAATAATCAACAAAACTATTAGCAACAAACAACAATTTCAAAAGACACAAAGCAAATGAAAGTAATACATCCAAAAAGGAGCGTGAAGAAGGTTACTTTAGATGTGGAATGAAAGAGCATTTGACACGTATTTGTCGTACAGCAAAACACCTTGTGGATCTCTACAAAAAATCAATTAAGGGAAAGGAAAAAATGGAGACAAATTTTACTGATTATGATGGTCCAATTGATATAACTCATCTGATTTCTTCACTGATTCAATGAAAATATTGACCATTTAATTGGGGGTGGTGTGATTGAAGATATATATTAGTTTACTTTCTAATATTTCTTTCATTTTAGAAATTCAATTTGAAATATATTACTTTTCGCAAAAAATTAAAACTTTATTGTAAATAGTTAATTTCATAATATTGAATTATGTTTAATCTTTTAAATTTAATTTATAAGTTTTGTTATAGATTCATGATGGATTGACAAGATATTTGTTTGATTGATAGTGCAACTATACATACTATTTTTCAAGATAAAAAATATTTTTTGGACTTAACATTAGAAAAAAATAATGTTAATATGATATCAGGTGCATCGAATATTGTTGAAGGCTCCGAAAAAGCTTGTATTATTTTACCAAATAATACAAAATTATATATTGACGATACACTTTATTCAAGCAAATTCAGAAGAAATTTGCTTAGTTTTAAAGATATTCGTTGCAATGGATATCACATTGAGACGATGAAAGAAAATAATGTTGAATATCTTTACATAACTTCTTTTGTATCTGGCCTAAAGCAGGTAAAAGAAAAACTTTATGCACTCCCATCTGGCATGTATTACACATCTATAAAAATGATCGAATCAAATATTATCACGAATCAGAAGTTCGTTGATCCAAATTTTAATATATTTTGGCATAATTCATTTAGACATCCAGGAGTTATAATGATGCGTCGAATAATAAACAATTCGCATGAATATCATTTAAGAATCAGAAGATTCTTTTACGTAATGATTATCCACGTGTAGCTTGCTCGTAAGGCAAGTTAGTCATTGACCTTGGCTACAAAAATCAATATTGACTCACCAACTTTTTTGGAAAGAATTCATCGAGATATATGTGGGTCAATATACCTATCATGCGTACCATTTCATTATTTTATAATATTAATTGATTCTTCTACTCGATGGTCATAGTTTGCCCACTTTCCACTAGGAATATAGTTTTTGCTAGACTATTTGCTCAAATCATTAAATCATGAGTGTAATTCTCCAATTACTCAATCAAGACTATTCGTCTTGACAATGTTGGTGAATTTAGATCACAAGTGTTCGATAATTATTATACGTCAATTAAAATTGTTATTGAACGTCTACAAATTTTGTTATTGCGCATATCCATACTCAAAATGGTTTAACGGATTCATTTATTAAACGTCTACAACTTATTCTTAAACCATTACTAATGAAAACAAAACTCTCAAATTTTGTTTGGGGTCATGCCATATTACATGTTGCTTCATTGGTTCGTATAAGACCGGCTGCATATTATCAATATTCATTTACCTTTGCAACTAGCATTTGGTCATGAACGTAATATTTCTAAACCGCGAGTTTTTGGTTGTACTGTTTAAGTCTCTATTTCTTCCCCCACAACATACTAAAATGGGTCCCAACGAAGAGTTTGGTTTTATGTGAGTTTTGATTTACCATATATTATTGGTATCTTGAACCTTTAATAGATGATTTATTTACTAAACGTTTTGCAAATTGTCATTCTGATGAAATTATTTTCCCAACTTTGGGGGAAAAAACTACATCCTAATAAATAAGATAAGATTTCTTGAAATGAAACTACTCTATCTCACTTTGATCCCCGCAGCAATCAATGTGAGCAAGATGTTGAAAAAATCTTTCATTTGTATAGAGTTGCATATCAATTACCAAATTTATTTGTTGACACAAAAAAGTGACAAAGTCATATATACCAGTAGAAAATATTTCAACAAAAATTAATATCCATACATGACAATTTGTTGTGGTAAATGAATCTCAAATATGTCGAAGTATGGTCGACCGTTGGTTCAAAAGATTTTGTATCTCGAAAAAGCAAAGTACAAGAGAAAAATTGTCTGAAGAGATCTTAATGAATTCTATTCGTCAATTTATATTGCTGTTGAAGTTCTAAAATCATATATGCGAAAATTAGTTCCTTTAACTGCTAAATGTCAGTGTTTATATAGTCGTTTAATCTAGATAGGAACTCGGTTCTCTTTCTCCTATCATTTCATATTTCATTGGATGAGAATTGACGACTAGATGAATTGTTAAATTCTTTCTGGACTATAGGCTAAATTGAGAGAGGTGCCTGCATTGGAGGGACATCTTCTAATGAAGCTTAGGGATGCATTGGAATGTTTGAAAAGACGACTGAGGGGACATAACAAAGAAAATGTGAAAAAAAGCTATTTTTTTTTTTTGAATAAAAAACACATATATTTCAAACAGCATAAACTGGATACAAGGAGATAAAACTCCTCCACAATGCTCTTCTCAGAGAGGTTCAGTGCAACCCAATGCAGAAGAACATACATCACAACAAACAAGAAACAAAAAACAACCAAATAAGACTAAAAAACAGGAGAGGACGCCGGCCGAAAGAGGATGGAAAATTGTCTGGGGATGAGCCAAGGGCGAAGCAAAGCCAGCAACACCAAAATTCCTTCAGCCGAACACCAGAACCGCACACAGGCTGAGACTTGAAAATAGTAGCTGAGAACCAAACCTGAGCTTGGACAGGCTGAGGCTTGAAAAAAGCTATTTTTATGGTTACAAACCAAAGTTTTAAAGTGATTTTGTTTTAAGTTCCTTAGTGCCAACTGTTCATTATTTGTGCTATTTGAACATCATTTTCTACATTGAATATGTTTTACACGTACCTGTTGTGAATACATTACGATTAACTTATTTCATTCTTTCGAACATAATGAAAATTGAAGATTAATTTAGCAATTTCATACCTGAACTTTTAACCTCATTCCTTATAGGTACCCAAACTTTCAATCATGTTTCAATCTATTCCTAATTTAACCGTAACTTACTTATAGATACCCAAGCTTTCAATTTCCCCTAATCAATACTCGAACTTCTATACCTAACTTAACCAAGAGATTTCTCGATTTGTGTATAGGTATATCCATATTAAGTAATGCTACTTGCAGTCGCCCTATGTGGCCATATTAAGTAATGCTACTTGCAGTCGCCCTATGTGGCACATACATGGCATGCAATTATTTGAAGCATTAATGTGAAAGTTTTTGACCACATTTAATACATCAAATACACACTTGACATGTGTGTGCCACATAGGGCGGCTGTTGCAGTGAACAACTGCAAGTAGCATTACTCATCCATATTTCACTGGAATTTATCATTTCTTAATGACCAATCTTGTGGAGAAGTTGACGTATGAAGAAGTGGAAGATGTTGTACAAGAAACCAACATGGGTGGCCACGGACAAGTGAATTATAAGCAATTTGTGAGAATGATGCTTGTTAAGCGATTATAAGTTTTTGCCCCTTATTTTCATGTCAAACATAGTGGACATTACGTAACATTGTGACATAAAGTCAGTGGTTTTCCTTCTATATCCATTATTGTCCAGGTTTGATATTTCTTCTTCCAAGCAACCATCTCGTCTAAAAGTTTAAACTCTAAGAAAGAATCCTAAACCATAGATATGAATATGAAGAAATAACTGCCCTTAATTCATATCTATGACAGTCGAGAATAACCAATGTTTTCGCAAGACCAAATAAAACACATTAAATTACATAATGCGAAGTAAATAAGATTAAAACTAAATGGAGAAGAAAGGTCATTCTTAGGCGAGTGAAGTAACCCATATTGATCGTCAAAGAAAGAAGATAATAGAGTTGTAGAAGATCACGAACGAGGCCTTCTTTCAAGCTACTGAGTAAGAGAAGATGCATTACCAGTAGATGCAGAAGCAGTGGAAGAATTTTTATGATTATGCATCCACACTTTGAAAACTTTCCTACTAATTCCAATTCCTCTGCAGAACATCTCGGTTTCATCTTCTGCATCTTTCCTCTGCAACTTCCACCCCAAATTCTCTGCGAATTCGAGCATTTTCTCCTTTTGCTCTTCTGTGAACTTTGTCCTAAACCTCTTCTTGCTGCTTCGCTCTGATTCCAGCGATTGCACTCCTCCACTGCCGCTGCCATATTCTATCATCTCTGCCCCCGTACCATGTGCCACGCCCCGGCTGCTGTAGCTTGCTCCATAGGTAATTTTCCGATGGAAGTTGCGGTGGCAGCCACATGCAGCACAGCGTAGGCAACCCGAGGAAGTGTCGTCTAGAGTAAATTCTCCACAGCCATCAGTTGCATAGCTACCAAGTGTAGCTGCATGGTTTCTTAGACACTCTCTATAGATGTCATTAAGGTTGTCTTCTTCCATCTCTATGCTCCTCGTTGAACCAAGAATTTACCTTTTCTTCTCTGCACCTGTTTGTGGAATCATTATTTGGGGAACAAAATGAAGGGAAATATAACTTGTGTAATTGTGTTTGAATCTATTTTTCAAGAGAACAGAAATTTTGGAACAGTAATTGATGTGAGAATGTGTGGTGGAAAAGTGATGAAAAGTTATTGATTAGAGTGTAATATTATTTTATTTGAAGAATGTGTGGTTGAAATGAAGAATGAGAATGAAAAAGAAAATGAGAAATTAATGGGTGTCAAACGGGGTAATAGTTTAAGCCATATGTATATGGGTGTTGTGTATGGTTGTTGAGGCTACATCACTGTTATGATACTTGTAACTTGGGATAAGTATAAAAAATCCCCCCTACCTCCCACGCCACCCCACCTCCACACTCGTACACAAACACAGCAAGAAAGAGAGACAAGGGCACTATAGCCTTAAAATCTGACATTTCCATACATAGACACATATTGGGGACCCATGAACAGAATGGGATTAACTCAATAATGCACATAGGGAACATGCAGAAAATATTCTACAATACACAGCTAGCCTTTCTTGTCCTTGTGCTCATTGTGAGAGAACTCAGATATGTGTGAGAAATTCTACTATTTGTATTAGAACTCGTAATAAACACTCCGATTGCGTTGGAACTGACACTCGAAGAGTGAGCTTCTAGAGGATAGCTTTTAGCATTATAAGCATCAGGCATTATGAGGTGGACGGGAGGTCATTTATGCACACGTGGTATGGACATCCACTCAAATCATGACACCTCATATGCTAAGTGGGTAAGAGAGAGAAATAGAGTGGTGGACTCACCTGCCCAGTGTCCAAGTATCGTGATTTGAATGGTTCGGGATCAGACGTAATAGTTTGAGCAGTAATTTGAGTGGACCTTCTCACTCACGACTTTCTTGGTGAAAGATGCCAAGCAAATGAAAGAAGGCATCACGAGCCAACAGCTCCATGCGCTAGCATACAACGGTTAAAATGCCATTGCTTGCTGAGCTGGGCTCATTAAAGGATTTTATTTTCACGACCCTAGAAAAAGAAAAGGAAAACGTAGAAAAGAAAATTATTGTAATGGTACACTTGATATGTCTCTATAATGGGAAGGGCTTTTCTGGGAGCATTGTTTTGTCTCCTTATCAGCAGTCATTATTATTCAGTGATCACGTGCAATTGCAAGTTACTGGTTGGGGAAGTAGAAAACAAGAAATAGTGCGTGGGACTGGGCAACTTGCCAGTTATGTTATGGCCACAAAACAAAGAAATAAGAGGATAAAGGTTAAAAAGAGAACCCAAATAATTGGTGGTCAGTCAGTGCATTTTACCATCAGTCGGGATGCCATAATTACTCTGCAGTACAATGAATACGATTTTAAACATGTCAAACTTCAAGCTACAAATAATCCTATTTAATCGTCAAAACACGTAAGAAGTAACAATGCAATCCACTTCTCTGCCTAACCAAATATGCCGGCTTCTGTATATATGCTGAACATGTCAGTTCCAATACAGGAGAAGGTTTCAAAGTTCGTTATTCAATGGAAATATAATATTTGGAATTTTACATCTTATAATTTCCCTGGTTCAAGAGCTAGGACATAATAAAAAATTAAAAAAGTGGGATTCCTACATAGAACGACATTCTTAACTACAGTTGCAAATACATTTAGAATAGTATGTGTTTTCTTCAACTTGAAGTCTATGAAAGAACACAAACCTCTAGAAGTAAGATATCTCGGGCTTCTTACCGAAGAACCATTTTCCGCAGATGTCTGGCGTCTTAGAATACTTAGCTGCTCCAAAATGTATTGTTTTCTGTTAAACTCCTTGTTTCTGACTCCAAAGAATATAGCAACAAAAGAAAAATAGAAATATCATTCCAACAATGTACCCAACCTGATTCAAAACAAGAGTGGTAACAATCATGGAAATCAATTTGTAGTTTCTATAGAAAGAGATACCGTTTTGTTTTTATCAGTTTCTCAGAAATGTAGTTGGCAAGAAATGCGCCTCCAAGTATAGCAATTGATGTTGCTAGGAGATGTCCTATGATGGCCCCACTTGCGACTCCCCATGGAGACTGTAGCACAGATGCAATAAATAAAGTTTTCTTGATATCTAGCTCGTATTTTATGAAGAACGGAATTTAATGTCACTGCTAAAACTTCCAGAAGATAATACCAGGGCTTCACCAAGAGATATTGTTGCCAGCATTGAACGGTCTCCTCATTCCTAAAAGCAACAGCAAATGGTAATAGTTCAAATTTTAGTACAAAAGCAATACACAAAATTAAGTTCAAGCTCAAGCACCTAAGTTGTAATTGAAATCCAAAGAATATGTTTTATAGACCATAAACAATTATTTTCACTGCAAAAAGAAGCAGCAGCTTACAGCAAAAATACAAGGCTGAATGAATTCCTCAGAACTTCAAGTGGATTCGACAGCCATTTCGACGCCTGTGAAGGCATTATGCATAGAAGTCGTGATAATGAAATTTCAGAAAACAAAAATATTTAGGAGAGAACAAATGTGGCCATTGATGATCGAAAGAAAAAATTTCAGGGCCAATTCTATGCATTCTTGAATTCTATGTACTAACAAAGTTATTAACAGAAGATTTGTTTAGAGAATGGAATCCACGAAACAGCTGCAAAAAGATAACCTTTTCCTTCACCAGCTCCTCAGCTTCAACAAATTTGTCAGATTCCTGGTTGTCTTGATCGGCGGTTTTAGCTAATGTGCATGGAAGTAACCATGCATATTTAATTGATTTCAGACCAAAGTACATCAAAATGGTCACTGCTGCATAGTCTCCAATTGGCAAGGCTATTAATAAGAAATCCTGGTTGCAAAGAAGAAAACTTGGTCGAATGGTAGATGGTCATAAACTCCTTTCGTTTAATTAGGTAATCATTTGAACAGAACACATTTCATAAAACAGATACCCAGAAAGAATCAAGATGGCAAGGACAACTACTTGTTTGAAACTGAGTGGCCATTGAATGAAATATTGAGCCAATAATGACAGACAGGACAGTCATAAGTGATAATGCACAAATAACTTGATCCATAGTAACACTGGTAAAAATAACAGCATTTCTATTTCCAGGGTCGGCCCTTATATTTTGGTAGCCTTATGCAAACTTCAAATATGGGCCCCTATTTGATAGAGATTAAAATCATGTTTTTAACAGTTTTTGATAAAAGTTGATGGAGTGTGTTGTTAAAAAATTGTAAGTCCTATAAAATGTGTGATTAAAATTAATTGTTGACTTGGACTTAGAAAACAATTAAATACAATTAAAAAATAATTAAACATAATCAGGAAAATTGGAAGACAAAATGCAAGATTTAACCTCCACTACAAGCATAAAAAAAAAAAAAAGGAAAAACAGAATACTAAGTGGATTTAAAAAATCCCAAACCAGATTACATAATACATAAAGAAACATCAGTTTAATTGAATTATTAATCAATACAATGACACTGGAAAACTGAGAAAAATGGATAAATAAAATGAAATGGAAGAACCTAGAGAGAGAGAAATGAATACCAGGGCTTTTAGCAATAGCTCATTGAATAAGTGTAACCACCATGAGAGCATTAGAAAAGTAATGGCTGTCAATTTTAAATAAAGAAAGAAAAGTGCCATTTTGTTTCTAATTAAGAAAAAAGAAAAATGATGGTTAGGAACATAAATGGTCAAATTAATTATATATAGAGAAAATAATGACTGTGATATATTTATGTGATATATGAATGCATGCAATAAGTTTTATGCCATTTATATGATTTTTTTAGAGATGTTTGTATTTTCAAATTTTATTAAATTCTTGTGTTTGCATATGATAAATCTAATTTAAAGAATTTCATAATTTTAGTTTTCTTTCTTTTTCGACCAATCAATTAACCTTATATAATTTGGGGCCCTCACGCAGCCTATATTCAAGGAATGACGACTTCGGTGGTTGGGAAATATCTTGCATAGACTCAAAGGGGCTCTCATCATAAGAGCTGTTCAATCTTACTAAAACGCATTAGAAGAGGGAGTAGTTGATCAAAACTAACATGAGCTGTTGTGGTCAATAAGGATCCTCTAGCAATGGAAATGACTCATGTAGCCAACCACAAATTTAGCGGTAATAAGTGTTAGTTTGTGTTTTTACCATTGTGGAATCAAATTAGTACGTAATTAAATAGGAAACACAAAATCTTTTCCCCCAAATTATGAATAGCTGGTAAGACTTCTCTGTTCAAGATTCGTATTCTGATTTCCCAAAATAATCCCCAAACAAAACTTTAAGCATCAGCATGAACGATTGTTAAAAAAACTCCCATCAAAACAGAACCAGAAGGGCCATTGCAATAAAATTGAATATAACTCACACCCTATTTACATTTACATGTGCATTGAGTGAAAAGATAAAAGAGACATAAAAAGCATGCTAGAAAAACATACACACACACACAAAGTGAGAGAGATTCTTCCCAACAATCATATTACATGGCCAACAGTTAAGCAATAAAAAATGTCTGTTAGATTAACCCGCACAAATTCAAAGCAGAGCAGACCCAGAAGTAAAATGTCGATGCAATAATAAAGCAGAATTTTTAATCTGAACAACTTGATGAAGGTCTACATATATTTATGAATACACTATGACATAAACATTAACCATGCCATATATCCATATTCATTTGGAATACATGAGATGAGATTCCTGTCAAAAGGTTCATATACAAAAGTTTTCAGGGGACATACAACCATCGTCATTGAAATAACATAGATATGCCAGCCTCGGAGGCTACTTATTGACTAACGCAATATACTTACTGTATATAAGTAAATGACTAATAATTGGCTACACAAGCTGCACATGCACGTATATAACATTGTGAGCTCAGAAATCATTCAAGCAAAGTAAATCTCAGGATATCTCGTCTCTTGAACAGATATCTTCTCACAAGAAGAAAACTAAATACCTAATAATTATTGGAAATTTAATTAGTAGTCCATATTAATATCTAGGTCGACCCTAAAATCACCCAAAGGGGGTGAATAGGTGAATAACGCGGAACTAAACTTACCAATTAAAAGTAACGAGTTACTTATTAATTGTTCTATATGTTTAGTCAATCAAGTCAATTTTATCCTATGTTGAAATATTAATTAAATCAGTAAATAACACAAGATTTGTTGACGGAAAAAACCACCCTTAACAGGTAAAAACTTCGGGACCAAGCCAATAACTTCCACTATAAACAATAAGAACTTACAGTATGATCCAATCTGAAAAACCCACTAGAATCGCTGATTTATTCTTGCAATTCCAAGACCCACTGGAACGTGCTTCACTCACACTTGCTCAAAATCTTTTGGTATTGTCAATCTCGTGTGGATCACTAAGAACACTTTGTTCTTTTACTCTTTCTGTGTTTCTGGTCCATCATTCCTCAACTTTCAGCAACCTCAAAAAGTTATTGAGAAAGTACCTTCCTGATTATGTTTAGAAAATGAGTGTTTTAGATTATATGAATTTGATGTTTTTCTCAAACTTGTGGTTGATTGATCTCAAGAATTAAAAGTTTAATCTCAATATTTGGATGTGCTCTTGGATCTTGGATTGATGTAAAATAATGAACAACCATACACAAAAACGTTCCGAGCATTGGGTATTTATAATAAGAGGAATTCAGGTAGTATAGGATAGATAGAACTCTTGAAAAACGTAAACTAGGGTTTCACATATAACACTATCGCTCGAGCGCTAGGCTAGCAACATGCGAGCGAGAGGTGTGTCGCTTGAGTGATAGGTGGGTGACAATGATTTTGCCTTTCTCCTTATTCCATACTCGACCCAAAGACTCTTAATTCATCTATACAACTCTCAAAAAACTCATTGACTTTTACAACTCTTTTATAACAGTCTTTCTCTTTTATAATAATCCTTTTATCTAAAAAATTGTCAATACAACATAAATCCTAACAAATATCTTAAAGTTATGCTCTTCCACAAAAGACGTCTAAAAAAGTTCCCCAGTTATGAAAAGGCACCGAGGACGGTTGCGTCTCTATGAACAAACACAAACAAATCAATGAATGCTTTGCCTTTTCAATTGATTGAAAAAAATTGTGAAATGGAAAACATAGTTGTCTATTTATTTCTCCACATATTCATGCATAAATCATAAATTTTGTATCCCAGCAATCAAGTAAAATCTCTTACAACATACTTGGACTAAATTTTGCCAAGAGGTTGGGCTTCATGTATGGTGCCAGCAATTTAAAGTGATTCTACTTAGAGTGTTGAATCCATCTCTATTCCTGGGTCATGAAATTGGCAAATATTTCAACAACCATTCACTAGAAACTCAATGCTACCCCTCTAATGTGTATTCTACAACCAGCAAAAAAACTAATAAATTGAATATGGATGTATTTTAGGGAGACAATATCCTTTTAAACACACCAAGATTCTGATTGAGCATTTCAAATGTAATTAATACAAGGAAAGTAAAAAGCACAAAATAAATTTATTAGAAAATTAAAATTTATTCCACGAGGAGCAAACGTTCAATCTTCTGTGGTAAATTGTAACTAAACAAGAAAAAATAAATTAAACCAAATAGATTTGAAGAACTCACGCGGCGAAAATGGTTTGAATGTTCTTCTGGGCACAAAAGGATAAACGGATATATAATCGAGCAAAAGAAATGACGGGGAAAGCTTTTTATTGGTCCCTTTTCTTGATTCTAACGAATGGGTGGTTTGAAAAGCCAAGACTTGCCTTTTGCTATTACGAAATCTTGAATTCCATATTTTACGAAGTTTTGGTTCTAAGAGAGTTCTACATTTTTATATAAAAATCTATTATTGAATAAAATGTGTAATTTTGTTATAGATATGAGGTTAACAGTGTATTTGTGTTGTCAAATAAAAGAAAAAAAAAAAGTATTTTTGTTGTATTTCAATTTTATTTACATCCAAAGGGATATTCTTTATTTTATTATTTTTTACACTAATAAGTAATATCTATCCTTTATCTTCGGAAATTTTCAAATCAAACCGCGTTTTCTAACCTGACAATGTTACGCACATGGCAATTGACACTTCCGTCTAACAAAAGAATAAATTAATGAAGAAAATGATAACTGGAATTTTTGTGATGAGATCTTCCTCATCGACCTAAAGAAAGGGGTTACTTACAATTTACAATAATTACTTTACATAATTTATCTATTCAAATAGAAGTTTTTTAAATTACATATGATGAGGCATTTCACTCATTCTCGTTTGAAGAATGCTATCCATCCTCAGTGGAGATATATCCCCAATTTATGTGGATATAAATGATTGGTTAAATGATAGGTGAAATTAAATGATTTATTTAATTTCACCTATCATTGAATGCCACATTAACGCCACATAGACTGGGGATGCACCACAGTGAGAATGAATAGCATTTCTCTTCTCGTTTACGTGTACAAAATGCAAATTGATATAATACTGGTGATTTTGATGCGGTGTTTTGTTATTAGTTTCAAATATTACGTGTAACGATACAATTAAAAATAATAAAATGACAAAAGAAATTGCAATGAAAATCATGAGGGCTTTCTCACGAGAGTGTGTCGTGTCCTCATGCATGAGCATGACATTAGTTATTTTTCTTATTTGCAATTTTGAATCCCAAAACCTCCGTTCTCGCACAATTGCTACAATCTGAAAAGAGCAAAAAAAAAAACCTATTCCAGCCGACATTCATTTCTCTCAGTAAGCTCTCTCTATCTATGTTTTTTGCTACTTTTGTTAGGGAAAATCATTGCTTATTTTTATTTAGATTAATTTAAATTCATGTTGTGATTTTTTTTTTCACAGATCTGAGTTCAATAACCCAAAATTTGTGCCTTTTTTTCGTTTTGTAATTTTGGGCGTTGTGCGTCTGTTTGCATTTTCTGAAAGAGTATATGAGTAGATTTGTTTTCTGATAGTTATATATTCTTGCAGGGTTTGTAATTTGGACTGTAAAATGTACTAAATTTACAGTTTTGAATTCCAGGTAAACACATTCATGTGCCGAATTTTGTGGGTTTTTCATTGGTTCGCAGTTTAGTGATTCTGTAAAAAAGATGGACGGAAATGGTAGTATGAATTTGAGGAATTGGGGGTTTCTTGAGAGGGCAACCACTACACTCAAGAGCCATTTGGGCCTCCAGTTAATGTCATCAATGGCTGAAAAGCCCCTTTTCGGTGGTGATGTTCATGACCACCACGATGTCATCCCATCGGGTGTTATGGCTTCAATCAATGGCGGGCCATTCCACCATCATCGTGTTGGTGGGATTTCTGAGTCCCACATTCCCATTGACTATACGAGGGATAATTGGATGAATCACGGCAGAGAAAAGTATGTTGACAGCTTGCCCGGGAACCAACACCATGGCTATTATCAACTGAATTATGGGCTTTTACCCATGGCTTCGTCAACTCATTCCATCCAAATGTCCCAGCAAATTAATATAGATAAAAATGAAAATTTCATACCTCAGATGGAAGAGGTAAGCAAGGAGGGAGAGAATGGTGGCAATGGTGGTGCTCTTAATAAGAAGAGAGGAGGTGGAAAAGTGCCAAAGTCTCTTACCAAGGAGAAAAAACCTAAGATTAGGGCACCTAGGGCTCCTAGAGAAGTGTCTAGCCCTTCGGTTCAACGGGCACGGGCTCCCAAGAAACGGGCTGAAGTCGTGATCAATGGAATCAATATGGATATTTCAGGGATCCCTATTCCAGTTTGCTCGTGCACTGGGACTCCACAGCAGTGTTATAGGTGGGGCTCAGGTGGGTGGCAATCTGCATGCTGTACTACTGGAATGTCTGTGTATCCCTTGCCTATGAGTACTAAGCGACGTGGTGCGAGGATAGCAGGGCGTAAGATGAGTATTGGAGCGTTTAAGAAGGTCTTGGAGAAACTTTCTTCAGAAGGTTATAATTTCTCTAACCCGATCAATCTGAAAAGTTACTGGGCAAAACATGGTACAAATAAGTTTGTGACAATTCGGTAATCTATGTGGTAGTGCTGCAGCTGGTCCATGAAATACACATCCTTTTTGATTCTTCTATACATACATGAATCTCCTGGCCCGTAGCAGAGGCTTCTCAGGTAGTCTCTAACTGGTGGATTTCTCTAATGGGTCTGCTCATGCCTTGTCCCGCCTCATTTAAGTTATTCAGTTTATTACATTCGTAGTTCAAGCAGTTGATCTTGTCTTAATGACGGGGGATGAGGATATTTGTTTTAGATTTATATCCCGCAACTACAGATTCCTTATTTGCTTTCTAGAGATTTTGTTGAGATAATGATTGATTATTTTGCTGTGCTAATTTTCTTGAAATGGTGATTGATGAGAAGGTAATGTGTTTAGGGTTTAGAGGTTTATAATTGTGATATTTCTAATGTCAAATTGAAGTAGTTATAATGTTTTGGTAAGAAACAAATAATTGGACAATGATTAATGCATGAACTGGTGAATTTGGAATATTACGTGTTAAAACTGCCAAATGTCTCATTGAATAATACTTGTGACGCGTTATGTGTCCATGCCTTTCAGCTAGATTGAGACTGCCGTGCATGAGCTCAATCTCAGTATCTGTCTAAATTTTGCTAGTAAGTCGAGTTTCAAGAGAACAACATTCTTGGAATTGTAGACTAGCATGCGTGCCTTTGAGTTGATTTAGTCAAATTCAGGGGGTCTAGGATATTTGAGAATTCAAACCTATGAAGAAAGGATATGCGATGTTGTTGAAATCCATGGGACTGAAGGAGAAAGGATGAGATATTTGGATACATATTATATTAATAAGTCAGGTGAAACATGGAGGCTGAGATATTTTGTTCTACATTTTGATTGCTAAGTCTCTAAAGGATATCGTATACTATCGTATATATGGGTGGAAGGTTCAGGGGCACTTCTAAATTGAGCTTCGAGCTTATTCAGGTAAACGAAAAAACTAGTGTTCATTTAGACTGTAGAAACAACCGATGGGGTTTTCATTATAATCTGAGGCAACTGGAGGAGCACTGCCTAGGTTTAAGTACGTGTTGCCTGCTAGTGCATGGTGAATCTTGGACTGAATGAGAGCTGCATGTAGTTGGAGTCCCACGTGAATATTGTGGAAGTTGGAACTGCTGAAGAAGATGACAGGTCGATGAGAGTTAATTAAACGGTTAATGCTTAATTTCTTCTCTGTAGATTATAAGAATATGCTGATAGGCTGATTAATGCATCAGGTGAGATTGATTTTGAAAGAAAGTCCTTGAAAGTATTGCTCCTGCAGTTCAACTTGATACTGTTCAGTCGGTATGAACAGCCTTGATTGTTGAAGATCAGAAGGTATGGATCAGACTCCCAGTTTTCGAGTTTTTGTAGAATGCAAAATTTTTCGGCTAAATGAATGAACAAAGGAGCCAAAAATTTACCATTCATATTTATAAAACGTGTTGCAACTAGAAGTTCTCTCTAAAATTTTGTTGTGCTGTAATCTTAATGCGGGGGTTTAATAGAAACTTTAGGTGCTAAGAGGAACGAATAGAAAATGAGTAGTGGTAGTATACGAATAGAGGTGGGTGAAAACTCTTAATGGTCCTTATACTTCAAACTTCTCCAATAGTGGCTGAATTAATTTTTTTTTTTTTTTGAGTGACTACCTGTACTAACACATTTCCTTGCCATTAATGGACATTATAAAATATCTGAATAGTCATTGTACTTCTCGCTCACTCTACAAGTTCGGTTGTTTCGGATCTTCCAGCTTAAGGCACAGAGAGGAAAGCGGAAGGGTGTTCTAAAAATATTTCCTTATCAAGTAGTTTAGACGTTGTTTAGTCACTGTAGTTTCGACCAAGTTTACTAACTATCACTCAAGACTGTTCGAAAAATTAACTATTTCATTGGAACCGTGAAGGAGACGGTATATTTGAAAAAAAAATAAAAATCATACATTTGATAAAATTGAATTACAAATAAGGATCCATCTAATACATTTGATTTTCGATTCGAGATGAATTGGTGAAGCATTCAGCCTCGGTCTCCGTGCAGTTGGCCACCATTCTTGTCAATCGAGATCAAGATTTTTCTTGCCTTTTGGAAAAGATGGAGATGACTTGAGTTGGATTCCTCCCGTGCTGACACACGTGTGTTAGGTTTCACCATCCGGTTCTTTTCCTTCTTTATTGGTTTTTTGGCAGGATTAAGAACGCTTATATAGCCTCTGTTTAGGATGTGCCAAAAAACCCCATTCAACGCGATATACGTGATCCTTGTCCAAAATGGAGGGGAATTACATGCCTAATTGGGTAAATGGAGAGGATACGGATAACATAGTCCCCATCTTGTTCTATTTAAAATTAATTTCAATTTTAAATTTTTTATCAAATAAAAATAAAGGATTTATCATCATTTTTAAAAAGAGCATAAGTTCTTAACAAATTGAAAAAAAAAAAAAAAAAGTAATGATATTTAATAACTAAAGACATAAAAAGTAAAAGCTAAAAATAAAATTTAAAAAAAAATAAATTGAGCGATAAATGGGGCAGGGGACCTACCTTGTCCCCTTATCCGGCTTTAACGGGGTATGGAGCAAGATGAGTGTGAGAATGATCGATCCGTTTCATACTCGCCCCATTGCCATATCTATTTTTGTAAGACTGATAAAAGTTATGAAATACATGATTAAAAAATTAATAAAAATTGTGTATTCTATGGAAATGTGATTGAAAGTTATTTTAGAAAAATGAGGCGAAACTGGGTAGAGCCGCCTAGACTAATGAAGGATTTTATAAGGTGGGCTATCAGACTTAACATTCTATATTTCGTCCGTACGATGCGCAGTGGGCTACAAATTGGATATTTGAAAGGGAATATTACATAAATAAGAGGTTTAATTTTACCAATTTCAAATTTAAGATATTATGTTTAAAATTTTAAATTTCAGAGTTTTTAAAGTTTTATTTATAAATTAATTAATTAAACATATATTTTATTAATTAAATATATGAAGGTCACAAATTCCATATAATTGGTCACATATTATTAATTGGTCACAATTTTCATATGTCACAAATTATTTTATGATTACAATTCAAAAATTTTATAGGCCACAGTTTGTTCATCGGTCACAAATCGAAAATTTTATACGTCACAATTTATTAAACGATCACAAATCTATCAAAATAATAAGTCACATATTATTCATTGATCACAAATCACAAATTTTATATCTCATTAATTATTTTACATCACAATTCAAAAATTTTATAGGTCATAATTTGTTCATCGATCACAAATAAAAAATTTATACATCACAATTCATTTACTGGTCATAAATCACAGTATTATAAGTCACAACTTATTAGACAGTCACAAATTATCAAATTATCGTCGCATTTTAACAATTTTTTAGGTCACGCATTATTTCTTGATCACAAATTATCGAATTTTAAGGTCACGTTTTAATTGTTAGTTACAATGAACCAAATAATTGGTCACATGCACCAAAACACCACACCCCTGATCTCGATTCACCACCAATATTTGGTCACAAATCAACCAAATAATTGGTCACGAACACTATCCCACCAACGCCACCACAAGCCACCATCGTCGTCACCACCACCATTTTTGCAATACCACTATCACCACACCGCGTTAAACCACCTCACACCACCACCACAGCAACATACCCAATCGCTAATCACAGCACCACCGCCATCACCACAGAGATCGTCTCTCACGCCAGCCAACACCACCACGGCCGCCACCACCAACTGCAAACACAACAAAAATTACCTAAAAAACTCCGGCACCAGTTCATTGACACATCAATGCCAGATTCACCACTTCCTCCACTCACCACCAGATTCAATAAATCCCTTTTGATCCACCACCAAATCACAAAGCAGAGCACATACAAACCATCATTGCACTACACTTTGGCCACCACAAATCGCCGGAGAAACCCTACGACCGCATGAAGTCGACTGGTATAGATCGCGGCCACTGCAGATCGTCCCCACAAATCGACTAGTATAGATCGCCGCCACAGCTGCTGCGCCTCCGACCTCAAACTTCGAATCGCCCTCTCTCGCGGCAGTGGAACTGGAACGTGAAGATGAATTCTACAGGTAAGGATTTTCGGTTGGGTGGGTTGGGGATAGGTTTAAAAGATGAATAAATATATGATATTTGAAAACAAATTCTTAATATCTGATTTTTGATATCTGCATCTTAAAATTCTGATTATGTGTAATTTTCACTATTTGAAAATCGACCCAAATATGGCCAGATGAAGCCCAAAAGAAAAGTTCTTTCAATCCAATTTTATGACTTTCAATGTGAATTGCAAGTAGGGGCCTAAAGAAACTGATAATTAGAATTATTCCCTTCTTTTTGTTTCAATTTTCATCTTTGAAGCACAGTCTTTATATTTTAGAAAATCATAAGTTGCATTTTAATAATTGTGGTTGAGATAGAATTGTAGCATAATGACAAAAAAAGAAAAAGAAAATTAGGGTCCAATAATTATTATATTCTGTTGAAAGAATGGGGACATGATGGGAAGTGGATTCTCAACAAACATGACACCAGTTGTGCACAATCACAAAAGAATGTCTTTAGCAATCGTCTCTCCCATTGTTAATTATTCTCCATGAATACTTTCTAACTATGGATTTTAAGGTCGAGTTTTATTGAAATGATGGTTATACTTATGCATCTTTTTTGACGAACTCTTGTTGCAGACAGGATAATCTTTGAAAGGCTACTTCTGACAGAAGACTTAATTTAACAACACATTTTATGACATTCACAACTTTTCAATCACCCTTTTTTTTTAATAAAAATCTATTAAAAAAATAATTTTAATCTACACCAAAAAGGGGCTAAATAAGTCTCAACATTGAAATTAATAAAATTATTAATTTTTTTTTTCTTTATCCTAGCCCCAAAAAAAAAAAAATAGAAAAAAAATAGAAAAAAGTGGTGATAATGTTGTGAGAATGATATGATGGCAAGTTAGGACCCCATAGCATTTTTTATACCGGCAGCCATTAAACAGGACAGGAGGTTGTGTCGGAAGAGATTCCTTTTCGTATTTTTTGAGAAATTATCTCTCCCAACTAACTAAAGTTATTGACTGTCGATTAAAATGGACTTGGAAAAAGAATGAAAATACAAAAAGAAGTCGGCCCATCCATCCATCCATCCACCACCGTCCCATGCCCAACTGCATTGGACCCAATCCCCTTTTCAAGACCTTTACGTTAACCATAAAAAAACTAATTAATTCAGTAATATGTCACGTAATACTGTATAATTATTGTGTATCAAACTTCCATGCAAGAATTTGCTAAACTTAATAATGATAATGTCAAATTAGTGACGTTATTTAGATGACTCGTTCGATTGATTACTCCACTTAAAACGTCCCACATCAGATAAGCATAAAAGTATTCAATTGTTAAGCACAAAGTTTGAGATTGTGGCAATTCTCTTGCGAAAGAAGGTATTTGATCGTAACGTGTCAAATAGCTGCACGTCGACTCCAAACTATCCATCGTTTGAGTTTATTATTTAAAAAACGATACGAACATATCCTCAAAACTCGAAATCCCAAACTATATGTACTTTTATTTCTTGTTGAAATTATTATACAATTTCAATTATTATCTTGAAAAGAATGATATTATTTTGTCTAGATTTATTTGAAATTCAATAGTGGTAATAATGGAGTAGTGGGGCGAAATTTGATTTTGGCTGATTATTAAGAGGCTGTCACCATACGTCATTTTGCATGAGACAATGTTTTGGCTGCCTCCCACTGTTACATTGGTGCTCTTCTCCACACAATTCCCACCCATTTTTTTTTTTTTTATTTTCATAAATAAATTCAATCATATGATGTGATTTATCGATCACCTTTCTCTTTTTCTTCCTCACTCCACTCAACAATAATACAATCTCACTTTCATCAAATAATTCAAAGATACTGTGCCCCCCGAGCACATCCAAGTTGGCAAAGGATGGGCACTGCTGGGCTTGCAACCTCAGGGTGGGGAGTTCGATTCCTGGATTGAGCAGCTGAGTGTTGTAATACTCAATTTGAGTGGAGCAGCTTGGTAATGTAATATCCATGGAGGAAGGCTCCCTTGGGGCCAGGAGTGGGTGGGGAGTTCGATTCCTGAATGAAGCAGTTGAGTGTTGTAATATTCAATTTGGGTGGAGCAGTTTGGTGATATAATATCCATGGAGAAAGGCTCCCTTGGGGTTAGGAGTATAAATGGTGCACAGACCCTGGTCAACTTGAGCATATCCTGCGGTTAACCTCCACCCATCACTGAGGGGCCGGGAATGGGTGGTCCAGGACATAGTCTAGGGTAAGGTAGGATACCTAAATATAAAAAAAAAAAAATAATAATAATACATTTATACATTTAANAAAAAAAAAAAAATTCAAAGATACTACTACCTAGACTTCTAGTAATTACACGATGAACGATATTATTATTATTATTATTCAAAGTTATTGAAAATAAAATAGATTCTTTCATGAGTCACGTGTGATATCAAATTAGCCTCAATTCTTTTGCCACTGTCTACCCTCGCATAAGAATGGGGAAATATAAGATTACGAAACTTGCCGAATATCACATTTTGATTAGCACTAGTGTTATTTGATGCTCGATGGAAAGGTGGGAGTTAGCAACCTTAATTGAGAGAGGATCAATGCTAGCTACAAGGCCAACATAAGACTCTTTGGTGCTTTTTTAAGTTGCCAGTCTGCCTTTACATCATATATATTTTGCAGAACATAAATTTTTCTCCTTATATTTGACCTTAAATACATATTCAATGCTCTTTAAACATTAAAAAGAAAAAAATTGCATAGGGACTGGGAATGTCACAGCACTCAAAATAGAGGGTTGAATCTGTAATTTTTGCTTTGATTATACTTGTAGGGTTTATTTCTACTGTAGATATAATCCCTTCTGTACGAAACTGACAAAAAAATTAGACACTTCAGGGTATGTATATATCTATCAATTATGCTCCTTGGACAGGGATTGCTGACAAGGAGGGAGTGATAGGGTGTGGTGGCATGGCGAGATTGGATATTGTATTTTTTTTTAAAATTGTCTTATCATGTATTGACACGTGTCTCCTAAATTGAATTTGTCAATGTAGCAACCTTGCATATCTGTTTATGCATGCAAATTTACTGTACTATGAAATGACTCATAATGAGTGTGTTTTGTTTCTTTGTGGGGATGTTTTTGCTTCTTGCTGGTAATCAAGTTGGAAGCTTTTTGATTGGATTAAGACCCCCTCTACGCCTACACCTACACCTACCCCCAGCCTGAATTAATCTTTTTGAAGGTGAAGGCTTATAGCTTAAAAGCTGATTCAAAGTACCTTTCTATTATTTTTTCCTACCATTGTTGCAGCTGTATATTCTTTAGTTTCATCATCCATTCTTCGAAATTTTTTGCAGTTGAGACTGATTTTGTAAAGTCAGTTCCAATGTTAAGAAACAATCTCTCTTCTTCTTCCCAGCCTTTTGCTGCAGAAAATGGGAACATTAGTAAAAGAAAACGAAGGCCAGCAGGAACTCCAGGTACAATTCAAGATTCAGTTTTGTTCATACAGTTATCTATATATTCGATAATTTTTCAGTGTTGATTATAAGTGCAATGAATTATACTTTATGAGTAGATCCAGATGCAGAAGTAGTATCTTTATCTCCAAAGACCTTATTGGAATCGGATCGATACGTTTGCGAGATCTGCAATCAAGGGTTTCAGAGAGACCAGAACTTGCAGATGCATAGAAGAAGGCACAAGGTGCCATGGAAGCTGCAAAAGCGTGAAACTCCGATTGTGAGAAAGCGCGTTTTCGTGTGCCCAGAACTTACTTGCCTTCACCATGATCCTTGCCACGCACTGGGTGATCTTGTGGGAATTAAGAAGCATTTTAGAAGAAAACACAGCAATTACAAGCATTGGGTTTGTCAGAAATGCTCAAAAGGATATGCTGTTCAATCAGATTACAAGGCTCATCTCAAAACCTGTGGAACAAGAGGCCATTCTTGTGACTGTGGCCGTGTTTTCTCAAGGTACGTAAGATTGTTATAGTAGATACAACGTGAACGATCCCATCTAAATCGCACCCTCATCATTTACCATTGTCACTTCTTATCAAGATTTTCTATATAGTATTCAGTACTGCAGAATGCAGAGTGTTTGTTCCATTTTGGTAAAATCAGTAGACGGCCAAGAAATAAGCATGTGAAATGATAATAAACTAGGTTTTGACTGATGTGGGCTTCATGCACAGTTCTTTTGGAATCCCAATACCAAACATTCTAGCATCTAACATATTTCTAATATAAACTTGGAAAAGGGACGTACGATCTGACCTCAAGCATGCATATTACTTATGAAACGGTGCATTCTTGCTGATAGGGTGGAGAGTTTTATTGAACATCAAGACGCGTGCAGTATGGGGCGGCTCCGATCAGAATCACACGAGTTACAGCCTGCGGCTTGCCTGTCTCGAACAGCTTCAGGCCCCAGCCCATCCAGTGACACCAATCTCAGTAATATTGCACCATGGCCTATTTTCATGACCAATGTTTGCGAAACTAAGAATTCAAAACCCACTTTTTTAGAGCTTCAGCAACTAACAAAACCCGGTGTTAATGGCGAGGATCAATCGACGCAATTGCAGCTGTCCATTGGCTCATCAGAAATCAGTGAAAGAAAGGAAATGGATAACGTGAATATAAGCAGATTTTCTCTAAGGGAGAGTGACACTAGTGAGAAACTGTCGAGAGTTAAAGAAGCATTAAGAATAGCTACGGTGGAAAAAGCACACGCCGAAGAGGCAAGAATACAAGCTAAGCGGCAAAGTGAACTTGCTGAGCACGAATTCGCCAATGCCAAGATAATTAGGCAACAAGCGAAGGCGGAATTGGAGAAAGCTCAAGCCTGGAAGGAACATGCTATCATGAAAATCAATTCGACCATTTTACAACTCACTTGCCATTCCTGCAAAGAAAAGTTCCAAAGGGGAATAACAGAAGCATCGACTCCCTTCGAGAATCCGTTCGGGTTGAGCTACATGACATCTGCTCATAGAGAAACTACTGATCATGTAACATTTGCTCAACTTTGAATTCTTCCATCTGTTCATGTTAATTAACGCATTTGCATGTTTTGTATTTCTAACATCTATAGACGTGATTAGAAGCCTAGTGGGTGTCATCATAAGCCAGAGATGTGTTTATTAATGAAGTTCTGTATTCAAAGATTACTAAAAGTTAGTTTGGCGTTTGGTCGTGCTTAAAATGGCCAAATTGGTCCGTTGTTATTTTGCACAGAGCTTGATATTGTTGAACTAATGGGAGTGTGAGGTTTTCTTAAGGAGGTGCAAGGGCCATTTTGTGTCCTCCAGTCATGATAATCGGATAAGCTATGTTGATTCCAGTGTTTGATAGTCCATCGGGTAATCTATTTCCCCATTGATACATCCAAAAGCATTGCCTGCGCAGTCGTGTCTTATGTAGAATGGCACTGCCTTTTCCCTGAACTCGTAACTCGTAATTAGCGCTCATAAAGTTAGATCTTTTGGCAGCGGAAAGAAGAATTGCTTCTTGATTTTCGGAACACACTTGTAAAATCATACAATTTAAGACACCCTATTTATGGCTATTCATCTGCAAGATTTTCTTAAATGCAAAGGGAAACACTGGTAGCATTTGAATATATTATCCAGTGTACCCTAAACTTTTGGTAGAGTTAAGATTTTGTGTTTGGACTATTCGAAGATCTTTGTTGGCTGAGGTGGTCAGAAATTGGAGGTGATCCCTTCCCTGTGCTGGCCAGGCATTAAAGAATTTGTACAGCTCTAAAATTATTGCACAAAATGATTTTTGAGAGGGATAATTAATAAATAGTAGTCCTTTTCCTCTGCTATTCTGTGCCCATATAAATGCTAATGAAGAACACCATGTTTTTCAGTGCCACAGTTGTAATGGTTGATTCAAGACTAGTCCCGTTCAATACACAGACACAAACAAACTCCATTCAGTAATCAGTACCCATCAAAATAAGTAATGGGGTTGGGGTTGTTGGTGGGCTAGGTCAAATCACAACTTGTTTCTTTCTCTTATACTCTCAGTGTTTAAGGGTTGTGACTTGATCGATTTGAAATTTGAGATGTCACGATTTTAGCAAATAATCCTATTACGTATTTGGACAGTTTTTGGGGTGGGGTGGGGTGGGGTGGGGTGGGGTGGCATCTTTCCTTTTACGAAGAGACAATTCAAGTCTGAGAGTTTGAAGAGCAAAACTTGAAAAACAGTGTGTAGTTGCTGTTGGCTTTACTGACTTATCATAACGGGAAAAAGGCCAATCCAACACCCAAAAGAAATATTTCACTCAGGACCACACCATTTTCTTTGTTTATTTAACACCTGTGCTTCTTAGTACACACAAATCACTGCACAAAGATTCTTGAGTTTGACACTTCCGTTTTCATTTTCTGTTTCCAAGAAAAACTCTTCTGAATCTTGGCTCCATATTCATTTGTTTTAAGTAATATTAAGACAGGGCTCCCGGCTCCGTAACCTTTTTAATGACGCTACATGTACATTTTTTCACATCATTATTTATATCATATCACATGATGACATGATATTGAATAATTTTAAAAAACAACACGTACTTTCCCGCCAATAGTTTTTTTTTTGAAAACAGTGAAATGTCAAAAACAATATCACACTTTGAATGTATATTTAGCATTGTTCTAACCTTTTAATCTTATGTAGTGGTGGCAACTCGGCTCGGCCAATCTACACATGAGCTCGTTCAGCATGAGCGGAGCTTGGGCTCGGGTTGAGCTCGGCTCGGCCTACGAGCTCGTTATTATTATTATTATTATTTTTTTTAAGTTTGAATTTTTTAATTTTTTTTTGTTTTTACGGACCTCACATTTTTTACGAGCCCACGTGCTTGGCTCGTGAACTAATGGCTCGTGGGCGAGCTTGAGGCTCGGCTTGCCTGGCGAACCCCTGGCTCGGCTCGGGCTCGTCCCGAAACGAGTCTGAGCCGCCCACGAGTCGAGCTTTAACGAGCGACGAGCTACTCGGCCCTTTTACCACCTCTAATCTTATGTTCAACCATGCTAACTTAAGGTTTATCGACTTTGCTAGGGCCACATGGGCCCTTGCAGTGCCAGGGGGCCAGCCCCTTGTCATAGGTGGGGGCTTTTGACATTGGCCAGCTGGCCTTAGCAGTGTAGCATTGTCCGCTAACTTATAAGTTTATTTTTACAGATATTATTTCTCTTAAAAAGTTCCTAATATCTGGATAGAAGTTGAGTATTGTGATTTTGGCTTCAAACTTTTAAAATTGAGGTTCTACACCCCCAAGTGATGGAAATCAATTGAACGTGAAAGTCATATTAAAGCCATGAATCTGAATATCTTAGTTAAATCTTTATAATTTTATTATCTAACTTTAAGTCATATAAAAGTTGCATGCGGTTTTAACAGCGATTGATGATTTTATCACTGGAAAGATCAAATTCACATATTTAAATATGTCTCGTAACCTCACCTGGAAGGTTGAGGAGCCAAAACCATCCCTAATCCAATTTTTTCAATGTCAAAAGGAACAATCTTATTATAATGCACATGTGAACGGGTGTAAGTTTGTGTATCTCATGCTTATGATCGATCTGTTAAGAGGCTTGATCATACCGATCTTATCATAAATCGATATAACTTTATAAGCGATTCAGGTCTTGTTATACAAACTCATTACTCACTCAATCTTACACGTACAAGATTGTTTTAGTTTTTCCCAAATAAGTCAATGGAAAAAGAAAAATATTTTAAAAGAAGTTATTGGATTCGACGGTGAACTTAGTCTATTTTGGTTGAAAAATAGAAAATGACTGCTCTATGTTATCAATTTGGTTATGTTGTCATACTAAAGTTTAAAAAAAAACATGAAAAGGAAGGAAAGAAAGAAAGAGTACTCAAGAATGGAAGTTGCATCTATTTGATTACATATTAGGTACTTCTTTATGCAGCACAAGAACCTTTGGATTGTAAGTGCATTTGTAGGGCGCGTGAATTATAGTTACCCAGAATTTAGATGGGTAAATGAGTAAATACATCATTTCTATTAAACAATGAAAATAAAAAGGTAATTATATTACACTACAATTAAAATTTATTTTTAATAAATACATTACAACAAATTCACAAATATACCCCTAATCCAATAAAAATTATAAATGAAAAAAAAAATAATAAGTATTGTGGCGTATTCAATTACTCATCATTTTTCTCATCCTTTCAACCCATTCAGGAAATTTTTAATATGCTGAAAAGAGTTTTTGAAACTATTATTTTCTTGATTATTTTTTTGAAGAACTGGAAGAAGAAGATAAATAAATTCTAATTATGTAACTTTACTTAAGGCTATTTAAGTAAATAATAAAAATATTAAAAATTGTGGTGCACTTATAGATTTTGTAGTGGTAATATAATGACCTAAATAAAAATTAAGGATGAAAAAAATAATTATAAAAGAAGAAGAAAATTGCCTCCTTCACCAACGCCAACCCACCCAGTCTAAGAACATCTCCAGAGGCCCTTGAAACCATCGCCACTAAACACCATCGCTACCCTCGAACCTTAACTAGCAATCTTTGATTTAGCACATTCTTTCTTGCAAGATGACATACTTGAAGTTGATCCTTTCCATCATTAGGAACTAAACCGGCAATCCCAACTTGCATTCCCCATTTTTAATTTGGGTGTTGAAGGAACTAATAAAATATAATAGCCTCAGACTTTTAGTTCATCATTGGCTATATTTGGAAGGCTCAGATCAGTGTAGGTAGTCACATAGAGACCGGAGTCTCTCCAGTAAGTAGTATCCGGTGGAATCCATTTTTTCCTCGTCGTTATTTCAGAAGTAGCTACTCTACTTTCTACCAAATTCTTGTATTGTACAGTAGGTCAACATTAGCATAAGACATAGGCTACCGTTGCTTATCTTCCATATAAGATTCCATTATTCTTCCATTGTAAATCAGAACACTGAATATACATCAATTGTTCATCATATTTACAATTTGAAATTCATCATTGGGTAACCTGTTTGCACTTTTCCGAAAGTTAGGGATGATAGTGCAAAAAAATATAGGTTTAGAATCCATTGCAGTTTTGCAAAAGTTTTGTAGTCTCCTTTCGACAATTCATCTTTACTTTTTTATTGTAGTTAGAAGAAATAGACCGAGTGTCCCATGCATAATAAGACATAAAATGGCATCTTGCTTTAGAGAAACCCGAAAGGAAGAAGAAAAGCTCTTATGACTCATCACCAAGCATTTGTCTCCGATAATTATTCGATTTTGTCTTCGTAGTCTAGTAAAATATTGTGTGTTAGTACGTACCTAGTGGTAGAGAACGAGAGAAATTGTAACCACCCCACCATATCCTACGATTCTAAAGCGAAAAATCGACAATATCACAAAATTGAAGAGTCGCTATAATCTCGTTATTGAATCCTAAGATCGAGAAAGTGTCACGTATGAAGTCCAAAGTGCACGTTTTGCATGATTTGGAAAGGAGCCTTTTTTATCTTTTCGATTGGATGTTTTGACTTGTGGATTACTTTAGGAAGTGAAACCTACTCTTTTTGAATTTAAAGATGTGTAACCCTATCAACTCCACTCCACCCCATGCACATGCTATGTTTCTTTCACTTTATCACAAATTATTGTCCTCAGAAAACTCTCTCCAAATACTAAAAGACTGCCATGGAATTCTTTTTAGATCTTGATCACTATGCAAATGTCAATTTAAAGGATTTTTATTTTTTATTTTTTGCCAAAAAAAGTAAAATATGAGTACCTTTTTCTTATGTATTCTTTTCAAGTCACATATTCACATTCAAATCCTTTTTGACATTGTTACTTTTTGCTTGTTTTTCGTCAAGGAAATATGTATATGGAGTGTAAGGACCACATGTCAAAGTCCAAAAAATTCAATGTTTGTGGGATTTATGAGTTCATGTGATGTGAAACGATCCATTACTAGAGCACAAGTTGATGGGAGCACATGGGGAATGAAAAGTTTCCTTATAAGAAAAATGAAT